GAAGTGTCACACATTGTTAAGCGGATCAGGGGGCTAATTACCAGGTGCTCATTGACACGCCTAACGAGCGCGAGATGTGTTGTCTAACGCACAGCCGCGTTGTTAAAAATCTCGCGCCCGAGTTTCACGCGCGCGAGATTCTCTTCTCTCGCGGCATTGTGCGCTGAAGAAAAAAAAAAAAAAAAGGGGGAAAGAGAATCGTCATTTCAAAGACGGAAGACGCACCGTTATCCCGCGGATGATTTCTTGCGGGGACAATGTACTCCTCGCCGGATAATGACGTGGAGATTTGCTCCGTTAACTCCCGTGAAATCTCTTCGTGATCGCCTCTCCAACGGGGACAACGCACATTTTCAAACTGCTTAATTACAGAAAATATTTCTCCGCATTCTCGTTTCTAATTCTACATAGAAATGTCTTAATCCCCACGACGGTGGCACAGTTGAAACACGCACGGACAATTCTCACGTCCACGTGAGAATTGTCGCGGACCGATGTTTTTTGTTCGGGTAAGATGAATAGCCGTTGGCGTTTTCGATTTAATGACATACGTCCTTCCTTCGTTTTTGCGCGGGTCTCGCGGCACTTAAGTGCTAACATCCGACAGAAGCTGCCCGCTGCGAAGCGCAGAAACACCTGTTACAATTCGCAAGGGTGCGCTCGATCGATATTACGTCAGGCCTGCCGCATACAGCTTCTATAGAAGTTTTGCAAGATTGCGCAAGAACGGTAAAATATAGATGGCATGTTGCAGGAAGCATGTCAGTCACGAAAAAAAGAAATGATCGATTTGATCAAGTTACGCTTTATCTTCGTTCGAAACTAATCGAGCGAGAAAATATTCGAATTGTAAGTATATTTTATTACAATTGACATTTTTACACACATATTTCGGAAGGTGATCGATGTTATATGTTCAACGCGAATGTCGATGAGAAAGGAAATACGTAAAGAGCGGTGATAATTTTGTGGCGAGCCTTTTATAATAAAATATATATGCCAAGAGTTTACAATCTGTATCTCGCGCGTTTAATTAAGGACGAGGTAGGGTTTTGAAGAATGCGCGCGCTTTAAGACTGCGATAAAAAAAAAAACGAAGCACCTCGGACCTGCTCGTTTATAAGGTAGAAGGAGAGCCGGCGAACATCCGTCCGCGACACGATTAATTACCTTGATTACGTGACGAGTGCATGCCGACGAATCGTCGTTTATTAAATGCATTGAATTAAGTGGCGCGGGATTGCATCCCTAATGAACGTCGAAACTGTCGTCATGCGTCCCCTCGAAAAATGCACGCCGGTACGCAAAGTGTCTCATAGACAGCTACGATTGCTGGTCTTTCGTTACTGAGAATATGTTTATTGAGAAGAGAGGATCTTTCAAACGCGCTTTATATCGCAATTTATACATGCCTGAATCGCGCTCTCATGCAAATTAAATACAAAATAAATTATTATTCTGTTCACGATCGATTTTTATAAGTGATATGTCATTTTTTCCGGTACATTTGCAAATCTAGCACTTGAAATTTAAATGGCTCTGTGTTTTTTCTTCGCATGAGTGAAGAGCATTAGAAAACGCATACAATAAAAAATCTTATAGAAAGTTGCACCACACAAAAAATTTTTATAATATTCTCTTTATCTGGAATTTTGAATAAGAATACCTGGAAGATCAAGAAATCTTCAAGAAATTTTTTTACAAAAAAGTAGACGTTCTGTATATTTCGTATACAATAAAACAAATGGTTGATAATTAAAATTTCATCTAAATTTGGAACGCATGGTTATTGAAATTTGGATAGCAGATTTATCGGATGGAAACGTCTTGCACGCATTATAGTAAGTATTATAGCAGAAGGAAGTGTGGAGGCAACAAAGGCAGACGAGCTCATATACTCGGCTCGTTCGAGGATTCAGTTTGTGTGTTACGTTTCGTTAAACCGAGTTACGAGACGAACGTGACTGGGCTTCATCATGAGCTACTCGAGGTACGACGAATAACGCGATTCAAAAGCGACTTTCGTGACGAGGTCGCAGGTCGTTTTCTTTGCGTCACGTTTCTTTCTTTCTTTCGAAATTTCGACCGGAGCAAGGCTAGCTTGACCGAAAAAGTTGACGTCGTCCTAATTTCTCGATTTTCGTGCGCCTCGTCATCCTAACTTTGCAATTATTCTTATCCATTTATACAACCTTATGTGTAATTTCAAAGCATGGTATATAATTCAGATTTGTATCTAAAAATTACAGTATAATTAATGAAATAATGATTTATATATCCACACTCTTCATTAATATATATATATATATATATATATATATATATATAATTAACTCATCTGCGCGAGCGAAATCTCGTTACGCGCATCTAATGTCTTATTGTATTTCGTGCATTTGTGTCATTACACGAATTGCGAGATCATGCTCGTCTGGCTTCCGGATAATTGAAACATCGAGTAATGCGGAATCCGGAAAATCTGCTACTGATCCAAGGCTCCGATCGCGCGTTTCCTTTCTGCGCGCGCGTACGGCGTAGAAACCAATTCGGGATCGCGTCTCGCGAATCCAGGAAGTCGCCCTAATAAGGAACAAAGACATTTCCATAATTAACCATTAACGGACGGCTCGTACGTCAGCTCTCGCGACTCGCATGTTTCTCGAACGTCGCTGTTTAGCGTGGCAATTGGGCGTGGGCGAGCCGATCGATTACCAGGAAAATTGTCCCCGAGAGATCGCATCTCGTATGCATCGCGCATTGCAATCTCCGCCTGGCGAGGCACTCGTGTCATCGATCATGCGCGAAAAAATTCTGCAAGCCACGAACGTTATTTAAATTTAAGCGAGTAATGGGAGAGGGAGAAAGAAGGAGGGAGAGGGAGATACGATATACCAGCACGAATCGTAATTTCTCATGGCCGGCCCTTAAAGAATGGTGTCATTGATCATGCAAATTTTGCATCATTCGCGATAAGGATAATAACCTTATTTGAATTTAGCGTTAAGTCTTCAATCTTCATTACTACGTCGTGATCCTTGATGCCTCGATGCTTGCTTGCAATATGTATCGTCTCAACGTGTCCGCGTAATGTGTATAGATTTGTTACAGAAAATTATGTTAATATCAATTACATGTGAGCTCTTGGCGATTTATCATTTCTCTTATCGATATAAAAAATATATAAAAATTTAATCACAAGAATTATAAACTTAATTTTCTACTATAAAGAAATTATTCACAGGAACAAGCGTTATTAATTTATCATAAAGCTTGTAACAATATTTGTATTGTATAACGTCATTTTTATAGGGTACTGTATTACTGCATCTCTCTTCCAATATAATTTTAGTTTTATAAAAACTACGTGTTACAAATACACTAATTGCACAATATTATTAATACGGCAATATAAACGAACCTTGAATAGGTCCATATGTTTCGTACCTCCTCATATTTACTCTAATTGAGTCGACGTCTTTTTTTATGACCATCGGGCAGGCCCGACGACTTTTGTCACTCTCATAAACGTAATTGTGATCCGTACTCTTTTATTAAGCCCTTTGCAAACTGCACGGCGAACATCTGCGCTCAGATTCGAACGAAATAGAGTTTGTTCATTGCCTTTCTTCGAAGATTCGCTTTACGAGAGTAATCTGAATCGTTGGGGTGTGCTTAATTAAAGGCATTTAGTATAACAACGACGGTCCTTCCCTCCCTCTTCGTTCTCGCGGATAATCGAAAGAAGCGATCGCCACGTGGTTCACCGCGCGCGTTCTCCTTAATAAAGCGTCTCGATAATGGCGTCCTTTAAGAGTCGCGACCCGGTACTGAAGATATAATTCTCGGGCAACCTAGGTGGTCGTAAACCAGTCGCGAAGCGTTGACAATGGACCGGCAACAGGCCGTCTCCTCTCGTCTCGCTCTCCCCCGACGAGATCTGGTCGTTCACTGGCCTCACCGTGGCCTCTTCAGCATTGTTCGATTGTTGTCCGGGGTAAGAGTGAGAGAGGGGAAAAACGCGACGTGTGGGCATCTAGAGTCGCTCCTAGGCCGCGCGACGACCTTTCTCTTATCGTGGAATCGTTTACATTGGCATTACCTCGTGCACGATGCGGATGACGCTAGACTCCTACGCGGCGCTCTCGCGTTGTTGTAACGTGGTTATCGGATGCCTCTCTCTTCCACCTGATTGTCGAAAATTGCCGCATCGCATTTTTCTTTCTCCGCCTCGCCGCGCCGGTCTTCGACGATTAATCATACGCCGCGCCGCTGTAAAAAAATATCTATCGCGGAGTCTCGACGCGGAAGTTATTATTTTTCGAAACTTTGCGAGCCACGTCGGGCGTATCTCGATATAATTAAGATCCGAATTAAAATTCCGCCAAAGTAGAATGCGCTCGAGGCTACCGGGCTAAAATTAAATCGCGAACTAATGATCGCATGACTGTACTTTAGCTTAAAGAAGCAAACGTATAATATAATTACAATTATAGGGTAATTTACTGCTATATATATTTGCATGGTGGCGCCGAAATTCCTCAAGTATTGGGTAGAGGAAAAAATGCTTCAGTCCGTTCGTTCTTGCGTGTCTCTTGATAATTGGCTGGGACCACGAAACACCCAAGAGTGCTTTGTCCGTCTGTTAGCCGACAAGAAAAGAGAATACCGAATCGTCCTCCTTCGAGAAAAGAAGCTTCACTTTCTCCATATTATTTCGCGGCAGGAAATTGACATTGTCGCGGGAGATCACCGGGAGATAAAACGCTCGTTTCTTCCCTTCTCCGTGAATTTGACAGGCCCCGCTTTGTACTTTGTGCAAATTTTTAAATTATATAAATGCATAATATATAAATTTATAGCTAAATAAAATTGTAGTCTACACCTTAGCAAATTTAAAAAAAAAAATCATATGTACACAAATCCTATTTTGATAAGACAGTCTTTATTGTTTAATAATAGAGAATTATTCTCTTTATCGAGCTCTTTTTCTTTTAATGTTTCAGCCGCAAAATTTGGTACTTACTGGAGAGTTCCCGGACTGCGACGTAAAGTTATGCGATTTTGGCATATCGCGATACATCAGCCACGGAGCGGACATACGAGAGATTTTGGGCACGCCCGACTATGTTGGTGAGTCTCTTATTCCGCGTGTTTTTCACGAAGATTACTCTGAAACGTATCGTTTCGATGCTAATCTGCCAGCGCAAACACTCGGGAGTTCGCGCGAAAACGGTTATAACCGTACTCGACACCTGCGCGTTTTCCTAACACCTCGCGTCTTATGCGTCATTGAGAGTAATATAACCGCACAATCCTGATAGCGTTGTCCGCTTTTCACACGACACCATATACGGAGCGTGCGGTTTCCAGCCTCGGAAGTCGATTTGAGTACTTTTGTGCGTTCCATGCAATTTTTTTCGACCTGTGTCTTGCGCCACGAAACAGTTTGTCCGCGGCTTCCATTAGGAAAACAGCCGCCTTGCATAATTGAACAGAACAAGCCACTTCGCGGCTAGCTGAAGAACCGCACGTGGTCGCCTGATTAGTCAGAAGGACCTTTTACGATTGCAATTACGCATCGCGCTAACGGTCTTCTATTCTAACGTTAAGTGGACGGAGATGTTAGGTAATCGCGAGTTACACGAGAAACGGAGGAAATCGGAAAGCATCGGGTTGATTTTGGATGATTACAAAGTCGTCTGAGATTGTCCTGAAAAAAAAAAAAAAATCATTGTTTCGAGAACCGCGAAATTAGATTAAATGAAAAAGAATATGAGATTGATCTTAATTTCGAGCGAAAAAAACCTTGATTGTTATTTCCTCGCTCGTAAATTTTAATCGGTCAATTACCATCAGCTTTGAGATGATTCGCGGAAATTAGCGAGACCGTTCGCGCGATAAAACAGCCCGCGGATGTTCGCGACGATTAAGCGGAGCCGGACGGACAGAGACCGAGGAAAAGAGCCCGGAAAAACTGGTGCGATCGAATCGGAAACGAGTCGATACAAAGTGGCAATTCGAGCACACGGTTAACGTTATTACGCAACGAACGAGTCGACTTCTACATACAACATCGCGACGATTACGCGCGCGCAAAGCCTAATATGTCCACGGTTACGATTATTATTATCCCGTTGAAGAGAGAACATGCGCGCGAACTCCATTAAGTAAGTTGGCGTGCTGTAATAGTGGCCGTAATAACGAAAAGACCGAGAGAAAGAGAGAGGGAGAGTTATTTTTCTCGGATTTAATTACGCGCGTGACTCACACTTTCTAGCATTACGGGTTAATGCATCATCCGGGAGGATCTAGCCTCCTCGTATAACATGCTCGTCTGTGTTACAGCCCCGGAGGTCCTCAATTACGAGCCGATCAGCCTGGCCACCGACATGTGGTCCGTCGGCGTGCTACTCTACGTGCTGTTAACGGGATGCTCGCCGTTCGGCGGTGACACCAAGCAAGAGACGTTCTGCAACATCAGTAGATGTCGCCTGGACTTCCCGGACGATCTCTTCGAGGACGTCTCCGAGGAGGCGCGCGATCTCATGCGCAAGCTCATGGTTAAGGATCCGAAGTAAGTTTTAGCACGATATTAAATGCGCTTAATCGATGCAGAAGTCGAATGTAAACGAGAAAAAGAAAGAGATTCGAGAAATTTAAGTCGGATGCGATTAAAGCAACGCGTGGAGTGCCAATCGCGCGAGACCGCGAGATTCATTGATCATCCCGAGCCACTCGTCGTTCGCCATTTATCTTCATATGTTTCACTTGACTCGACTCGAAAGATTTCCATTCGTTATTCCGACGCGATCGAGACGTCGTCGCCGCGAATTACGTTACACACCCACATCGTATATACTCGCCGTTATTTCTGTGCCGTATTTCTCGGTCGATCGACTTCAGCCTGTGTCGAGAAGCTCGTCTTAGGCGGCGAGTATCGACGTGCGCGTCACCGGAGAAGTCGAATTCCTGGACCGATGCAAAGTAATTCCTTCACGGAAGACTGCGGCGATCTACCGAGAAGGTCCGGCGCTTACCTCGAAGTGAAAGCGGATACTTGTACTCACGTTGATTACATTGTTACTTGTATATATGTCGGCCGATTTCCTAGAACGAAAACAATCGCGTCACGTAGACGCGTATCAGGCGTTGCAGGCGATGCGACATTCCGCGCCTGTAACCGAGATGATGACATCGGCGACGACGGATGATTCGATGAGCGCGATCCGATTCGGAATCAGCGGCATCTTTGAGATTTAATCGCGTCGCGATGAGAGAAAGCCATTCGCGCTCACCGAGAATCTCGCGAGACGTTTGCTTTTGCATTCTCGCGAGATGGAATGGAATCCATTAGATTCCTGTAACTGTCCGTTGATCTTATGTCATGCAGATTCCCGAAACGACAGATTCCGCACTGTAAGAAACTGCTTAAAAATTCAGACACATTTTTGTCTGAATTTTTAGATCTGGATGTCTGAAATTAATTTCTTAATTATCAAAGTCCTTTTTCTGAAGGTTCAGAAAAATCTGTCTGAAAATTCAGACAATATGTCTGTAAAAAAACTGCAGATACTTTATCTGAAGCTTCAGTCTGTCATTTCTTACAGTGTAATTGGAGACTTGATTTACCATTATCGGACTTTTATCAGGTTATTAGCTCCAGTTTTTATTTCATTATACAAGATGCAGCATAGAAAACGAATAGAAGTCATAATTATTCAAAGTCATACGGATTTATTTGAATATTACGAATTAATATTTCGGAATAAAACCGTACCATTAGTATAATTTGTGACTGCGCGCAAAGTCTTCCTTGAATTGCATTTAGTAGTTTTGCATTTTTCTCGTGCCCGTCTTAACGCTTCGCGGATTATACCGTGCACAATGACGACACTGTGATTTCACCGAGATGCATTTATTAGCTCGTCCGGTCGAGGATAGGAACTGTCATCGTCGAGTCTTGCTCTTTGCGAATACAGCGAGAAAAACGATCGGCGCCACGTCCGTCGACTTTCTTCGAAGCGGGAAGAGCGAGGAAGGCGAGTTCCGCTGAAAAACTCGTAGGTTCCCTTATCGCGCGGACAGCTGAGAGGAAGTCGCTATCCGGAATATCCACGTCCTTCCTCTCCGCGTATGGTGCTTTATCGTGCGAAACCCGCATGACTTATCGTCACGTCCGACAATGTTATGTGTGACAGTCGTCCCGCTTCGCTGACCTATGAATTACCACGTTTAAGCTCGAGGAAGCTGTACGCTACGAAGAACCGGAATTAAGAGAGCTAACACGTCTGAAGAAAAAGAAAAGATACTTTATAATTAAATTGACGTTTGGTTTTTTTTTTTTTTTAAATTTGCCATTGCGTCGTTTGCGTTAAGATTAATGTATTCTAGATGTATTCTAATGATAAGACAGCTTAACGATTAATGTAACAAATAAACGTGGTCTACAAAATTGCTTATCGTAATCGCGATAATTGCTACCTTAGTTATTTTTCTATGTGCTTCTACGCTACTTCGTGGAATTATTACGTCAATCTATTCAGTAACAGACTTCATCCGCGCCGATGTTTCGCCATTCGCGCGACCTAAACTGCAGCAATGTAAACTCACGGGAGTGACGTGAAATTATTAATATTATTAATTAATATTAATTAATATTATTAATTATTAATATTATTTATATGAACAAATCTTCGCTCGTATAAGCATTTTTTTGCTCGGGCCCGGGCGGCTCCGGAATTAGAGGGGGAGGAAGCCGGCCTCTAAAACTTCTTTTAGTAGTTTCTCGACGGGTCCGGCATTCCATGACGGTTACTTTTCTTACGTGGTTATGCAATCTGTTACTCCGTTATTGAAGGCATTTTGCGTCGTCCGTATGCCGGAAGTCAGCCGACACTTTAGGCATGTTTTACGCGGTATACGGTACACACGTTCTCGGCACGAAACAGCCGCGTGAAAAATGTCCCGCTGCGGACCGCCGCAATGATGGCCACCGTCCGGCTGGCGGTGGCCGTTTATGTGACGGGTCTCTTAACCCTTTGACACTCTCGCTCCTCGAGTTAACGAGGATGACGAGAACGAGTCGTTCGCGGAACGAGCCTGTTATGTTGGGATATATACGTTCAAGAGCGCCGTACCGAAATAGCCGACGTAACCGAGACTTTTATTCACGGCTTTCCAACGCGGATTATCAGAGCCCAGTCAAGCGACAACTTATTAAAAATCGAGTCTAGTATTTAAAAACATGCATTCTTTATGCATTCTTCGTTTTTGGAAATATTCGAAACGTTTCTCTCATTTGTTCGCAGTGAACGCCTGACGGTGACCGAGTGTCTCCAGCATCCCTGGTTCAACATGTTCGAGCAGCCGTCGACGCCACTGTCCTCGACAATGTGTTCCACGTCAGATGACAGTCCCGCGGCGGACTGGAGAGTTCCTCGTCGAAACCTTTATCTATCGCCAACGGTCAGACCGCGTCGAACACATCGTCAACACCGAAGAGCAGTGACGGCGAGAAGCAACAGCATCGGTCGTCCACGACCGGTGTGTGCCACAGTCCTACGGAATCCTGCGCAAAGCCGACAAGTCCGCGCGCCGTCTCCTCGCATACGGAGAACCTGTATTCGACATCGAGATCGTCGCCCAAGCCCATCAGATTCGGCCTGAGTCCGGATCGCAGGGATACTTTCAAAAGGAACATGGATTCGCTTGCGCGAAAATTTTCCGGCTCTGTTTTACCGGAAATCGTCATCATCGAGACGGGATCGTCGACGAATGCTGTCGGCAATGGTGTTACTCATCAACGTCGCGCCACCGCCACCCACACGATGCCCGCGGGTGGCGGCGAGGTGTTCAAGTGCACGCCCGTCTTTATTCTTGGTGAAGCGGAACAGCAGTGCAGCAGCGACAGCGGCAGCGACACCGTCTCCGAGATCTCGACCGACAGCTCGAGCGATCGTAGCAGCATCTACTCGGATGACTCCCTGGATTTTATCCTGTATGGTAAAAGCCAGGGTAGAGCGAGCTATCCGTTTACCGCCGCCGACGCGACCGCCGATAGGTGGGAACAGCAGAGGCATCATCGCACCGCGCACAGAGTGTGGCCGCGCGAGTGCAGTGGCGTCGTCAGCAAGGCGCTCAGCCGTTTCACGTCAGAAACTTCGTCCAGCGGAACGAAGATTGCGAAGATCCCGACACCGCCGACGGCGACGGCAGTAATGCGCGGCGGCAGCAAGGCTGGCCTCGAGGCTCTCCGCGAGCGGAGCGGTAATCTGGTGGTTATCAGGGAGCCTGTCCGCGCCGGCAGGTATACCAGGTATAGCGAGGTGCAGTGCGAGTCGGTGCAGGCGCGGATTCGGCGGTTCCAGGTGCACGAAGCTTCGTAAAATCATCCCGCATAAGCGTGCGCCGGCAGGTGTCGGTGTTGAATTGTATTTGCCAGGTGTCTGTCTTGGCAGTCTCCTCGAATAGCTCCTTGAAAGATTGGGAGCTTCGAGGCAAATGTACATATTACATAATTACCTGTACAATAACGCGGAAGAGAAGGGAGGGGAGAGGAGGTTTTGAGCAACGAGATATACCCGAGGGACATGCGAAATGAAGCACAAAGGTGGAAGGAAAGGGACGGGCAAAGTTCCTCGAGGTTTTTTTGAAGGCTGTGACGACAGAAGTTTCTCGGAAAGATTCAGGAGATTGCGCGTACATTTTTTTTTTTTTTTTTATAAAAATATAAATTA